AGCTCACTGAGGTAAAAAAAAAAAACTTATGTAGCATTTGCTGATTTCTGTGGTTGATTTTAAGCTACCAATGATTTAATAACTAGCCCACAAAATTCTTCAACATTTAACAACCAGCTCCAGCATACTATTGGTAATAACTTGCAAAGACACAGTAAGAGTGGTCTTTTATTTACGGCTGTGGTAGGCAGTTAGACAGGCATGAGCAGAGCAAGGGATGATGGGACAGGTACAGAAGGTCACCAGGGTGGAAAGCCCTGGGTGCCTAACAAAGGACAAAACTGGGAAAACAAGACATCACCCCCAGGTAAAGTTTCCTCCCCTGGCATATTGCTGGTCATATGGTTTAGACCCCCCTGACCTTTCATATCACTGGTCATATGGTTTGGACCCTCCCCTGACCTTTCCTCCCCTGGTATGTTGCTTGTCATGTGGGTTAGACCCTGTTAGAGGGGGGACGAACAAGGAGGCCAGAGAGTAGCTTTAAGCATAAAGCCCCCGGGACAATGAGGTTCTGACCCATATCAAATACATCTAGACCTCAGTTGTGTTTCAGCTCCAGGCCCAGAAAAGCAGCAAAACCAGACAAGTGAGGCGGTGGCTGATATCAGGACTAGCTGCATTGACTAATGACCCCTGCCCTGGCATCAACCAATCAGTAGAGACCATGAACCTGAAAAGACACACCTGGAAAGCTGATGAATATTCTATTGAGATCCTCCCCTAAAATCTCCACCCTTAAAAGCTCTTAGGACAGAGGACTCAGTGGTGTGCCTTTCCCCACTGCCTTTCCCCTCCCCAGGAGCTATTTCCTTGACCCTCTCTTTCTCCTGAGCTCCAAGGGCCCTTCTTTTGCCTCTGTAACTTGTTTCCTAAGCCCATTTCTTCTACAGCTCACGTCTACATCTATAACTTTCTAAATAAACTTTCTCTTATAGTTTGAGTCTTGGCTTTGAATTCTTTTTTAGCCAAAACTGAAGTACTGAGGTTGCTGAACTGAGGTCTGACACCTGGTGCTGGTTCTACCACCAACACATGTAGTATTGTTTTGTTTTTGTTTTTGTAGTATTGTTAATAAGCATACTTTTTTCTATTTGTTTCATATATATTTTTATAGATGTAAAATATAAAAATATAAACAATTTTATTAAGATGTAATTAATATAGCATTATAATTCAGTACCTATTTAAAGTGTACAATTCAGTGTTGTATTCTTTTTTTTTTTTAGAATATTCACAGAGTTGTGCAACCATCATGTTATCCATTTTTAAACGTATTCATCACCCCAGAGACAAACCCTATACCCATTAACAGTCACTCCCCATCCCTCCCAGCCCAACATACATACTAATCCACTTTCTGTCTATAAATGCCTATTCTGGTCATTACATATAAATGGAATTATACAGTAAGTGATCTTTTGTGGCTTCTTTCACTTAGCATAATGTTTTCCACATTATAACATGTATCAGTTCTGCTTTTTTTTTGTGGCCGAATGTTTCTTGAGGTCTAACTTACCTATAGAATAATGCACAAACCGTAAGAGTACAGCTTAGTAAATGTTTATATATGTAATCACCAGTACTTCCAGAAGATACAGCTAGTCAATATCCTATTTCCTCTTTGTCCTCAGGCTTTAATTTTTTTTTTCTTTCTTTCTTTTCTTTAATCCTCATCCAAGGATATTTTTCCACTGATTTTTTAAGATAGAATGGGAGGGAGGGAGGAAGAGAGAGAGACACACACACACACATTGATTGGTTGCCTCCTGCATGACCACGACTGGGCTGGAGCTCGAACCTACAATCGAGTTACATGCTCTTGACCAGGAATCAAACCCATGACTCTTTGGTCCGAAGGCCGACGCTCTAACCCCTGAGCAAAACCGGCCAGGTCTCCCCCCCCCCCCGCCCCCCGCCTTTCTCTTTATTCTTCAGGCTTCTGTTAACCATAGATTAGCTTTGCCTGTTTTTGACCATCATATAGGTGAAATCATAGAATATGTATTATTTTGTGAATAACATATACTTTTAGAAACACAAATTACTGTTAAGCAACTCTTTGAGTGCTAACTTCTAAATTGTTTCCTCTAATCTGTAGAAAAATCACTAATAATTTCAGAAAATTGCACATTTGACTCCTTGGTCTATTCTTACCTCTTTTAAAAAATATTCTAAGCCCTGGCCAGTTTGGCTCAGCAGTTAGAGCGTCGGCCCACGGACCAGAGAGTCCTGAGTTCGGTTTCTGCTAAGGGCACATACCTCGGTTGCAGTTTGTCCCCGGCCCTGGTTGGGGTTGTGTGGGTAGCAGCCAGTCGATGTGTCTCTCTCTCTTCCTCCCTCTCTCCCTCCTGCTCTATCTGAAGATAAATGCAAAAATGTCCTTGGGTGAGGATAGAAAAATTAAAAGAAAATATTCTTAAAAGAATAACACACATTTAAAAATGAATACATTTGCTTATTTTATTGCTTTAGTATATTTAAAACTAAGCTTATATAAGTGATTTTAAAAAGAAATATATATTTTTTTATTTTAAAACTTAATGTTAAAAATCTATGCTTGTCTGAAACAGAACAAAACAGTGTCTTCCCAGTCTCTGGATTTAGCCCAATCAGGATGTGATCTGTTTAGAGTTTTAAACTCTAAGGGAACAACACTGTAGTCCAATAGAAATTAAAGGGATTATAAGGGAATGTTAATGAATGACTTCATGCCAAAAATTCTGACAATTTAGTTGAAAGAGACAAATGATCAAAACTGACCCAAAATGAAATAGAAAATGTCAATAGACCTATCTCAAATTTTTAAAAAATGAATAAGTCGCCCTGGCCAATTTGGCTCAGCGGTTAGAGCGTCGGCCTGCGGTCTGGAGAGACCCGGGTTCAGTTCCCGCTAAGGGCACGTACTTCGGTTGCAGTTTGTCCCCGGCCCTGGTTGGTCGTGCGGGTGGCAGCCACTCAATGTGTCCCTTCACGTCAATGTTTCTCACTCTCTCTCCCTTCCTCTCTCTCCCTCCCACTCTATCTGTACAAAAAATGGAAAAATATCCTCGGGTGAGGATAAAAATAAATAAATAAATAAATAAATAAATAAATAAATAAATAAATAAATAAAAAAAATGAATAAGTCTTTAAAAGTCTTCCTGCAAAGACAAGCCTAGGCCCAGATGGTTTCATTGGTGAATACTATCAAACATTTAAGGAAAAAAAGGTACCAATCTTATATAAACACTTTCAAGAAATAGAGAAGTACTTACTGACCTGTTTTATGAGGCCAGATATCAAAGCCAATCAAAAACAGCACAAGAGCCCTGGCCAGTTTGGCTCAGCGGTTAAAGCGTCGGCCTGCGGTCCAGAGAGACCCGGGTTCGGTTCCCGCTAAGGGCACGTACCTCGGTTGCGGTTTATCCCCGGCCATGGTTGGTCGTGCGGGTGGCAGCCACTCGATGTGTCCCTTCACGTCGATGTTTCTCTCTCTCCCTTCTTCTCTCTCCCTCCCACTCTAGCTGTACAAAAAATGGAAAAATATCCTCGGGTGAGGATAAAAAAAAAAAAAAAAAAAAAAAACAGCACAAGAAAATAAAATTATAGTTCAAAATCCCTCACTAACTTAGATGCCAAACCATAAAAATATAGTAACAAATTGAATTTAGGAAGATTTAAAATGATTTATATAACATGACCAAGAGGAATTTCACTCAGATATGCAAGGTTGGTTTAACATATTAAAATCAATTAATTTAATACACCATGATTAATAAAATAAGACAAAACCAAAATATTATGGTTTCGATAATGCAGAAAAAGCATGCCACAAAATTCAACACCTGTTCATTATAAAAACTCTCAATAAACTACAAAAAGAAGGGAGATTTCTCAACATGATAAAAGGCATCTACAAAAAACACAGGTTACATAATGCTTAATGGTGAAAGATTGCCACAGACTGGGAAGGCAAGGGTATTTCTCCTTCCCACTTCTATTCAGCACTGCACTAGAGGTTCCAACTAGTGCAAGAGGGATAATAAAAGGGAATTAAAGGTATCCAGGTGGGAAAGGAATAAGTAAACCTCTCTTTATTCACGGATGACATCATCTCATATGTAGAAAGTCCAAGGAATCTATCAAACACACAAACTGCTAGAATCAATCATTGAGTTTAACAAAGCCATAGGGCATGAGATCAATATACATGAAGCAACTGAAATTACACACACAGACACACACAAAAATTAATTCCATTTCTATATACTAGCAAGGAACAAACCAAAAATAAAATTAAGAAAACAGGTGCATTCACAATAGCATCAAATAGAATAAAATAGGAATAAAGTTAACAAAAATTCTTGAGTAAGGCTTTCCTTTATAGAGGAAAGAGCATATCTGCCTTGTTATTTCAGTTTGCCTCTGAGTACTGTAATTGCATACAATTCATATAACTTCTCTGAATCTCATTTTCCTCATCTTTAAATGGAGGATACCAACTATTGTACTACTTGCTTCACAGGGCTATTATGCACATTAGAACATATTTATACTGCAAAGCATTACACAATGATAATTGTACTTAATAAAGTACACAGGAGCTGTTTGTCTTCCCAGTGCCCCAGTTGAAGTGATTTGAAAATGAAAATGCACTTACTAACTTTGGCAATTTAGTCACATGGAACAGGGTTGGCTGTTCTGCCACGCCACGGAAGAGCCATCATTCTAGGCCCAGTTAGTTGGGACTGTTCCCAACCACCTTGCTCAGTCTTTACCCTGAAATCATTAGCAAAACATTATCTTTGACACCATGATTTGCTCATTTGGTAAAAAGTTGCAACTTTCGTTTGTCATTTTGGAATGCCTTTCTTTTTTGTATTATGAAGTTTTAGGAGGAATTTTAGTCAAAGTATATTGAGTAAACTGATTGTTCTTTAAAGCTGCCATTTTTTTTAAGTATTTCAGTTTGTACCATTGAATTTAACTATTTTTTTTCCCCTCATTTTCCTCTTAAGGGCTTACGGCAGCCAGCTCCTTTTTCTGATGAAATTGAAATAGACTTTAGTAAACCCTATGTCAGGGTAACTATGGAAGAGGCCAGCAGAGGAACTCCTTGTAAGTAAATGCCCAGTTATTTTGTTGTTTTCCTGATGTTTTTAGCATTCGATTGTACTTATCAAATATACACCTACTTTCTATGTTCTTCACTCAGTTTACCTATAAAGGCTAGTTTGGACAAAGGGGATGAGTCCCTTCTAGCTCCCTTGCTGTTCTTTTGGGAGGGTAACCATAAAATTTATTTTTTTCCTTATTATTATGCACTTGTTTCCCAAGATGTTATCACAACTTTGAGATACAGTAGTATATACTTGCCTCCTGGGCTGTTGTCATAGTTATGAAATATAGGAGAGCAGAGACAATAAGATATTAACCTGAGCTGGATTTTAATCTTGTCTATTTTTACAAAGCTCCAAATAATATGTCAGGCCATCACATTTTTAATAACCTTTGGAATTGTTCCCCAAATCTTCCTTTCTATCATTGAGTACTCTAGCTCTGATGCTGTTGCTGAAAGAGGACAAAAATAACTCAAGTTTGGAGATGCTCATCACTTAATTTTATCATTATTGATATTATAATTTTCTAGTTTTTTAAAGACTCACTTTATTATTTTCAAAGCCCATACTCTTCATTTGTATGCTAGTTTATATAATGTATGTATGTATTCTATATATTTTTCTTGTTTTGGGCAATTGGTTTCAGGGATCATCTTAAATAGAAACTTCCATGAGCATTTGTTGTAAATGTGGAGTCTTACAGGCAGCTGTCCTTACTTCTCTATAAATTCTTCAATTCTCCTTTTATTCAATCCTTTTTTATTTCTTCCAATTACTATAGTAAGTATTCTATCTACTCGGTAAACATAGGTCTGGACTGAAACAGGCAAGCACTAGGGAATAAGACGCAGTTATATCCAAAAATCTATGGAAGATATTTGTAGTTACTTATTATTATTATTATTATTTTGTTATTGTTGTTAATCCTCACCTGAGGATAACTTTTCCATTGATTTTTAGACACAGTGGAAGGGAGGGTGTGGGGGAGAGAAAGGGGGAAACATCAATGTGAAACAGACACATAACTGGTTGCCTCCTGCACAGGCCCCAACTGTGACTGGGGATCGAACCTGCAACCCAGGTATGTGCCCTTGACCGGGGATCAAACCCAAGACCCTTTGCTGTGTAGGTCAACGCTGTAACCACGGCCAGGGCTGTGGTTACTTATTAATTGTGTTAGTATATTTGCTCCCAGTTGTAACTGAGGAGTAGCAAAATATGAATAGAAAGGTATGCTGGGCACTGTGAACCCAATACCCATTGACTGTATCTTGGCTTTATGTAGTATAGTTTTGGGGTCCTTAAAATTCCAGAGAATGCTTTCCTTTTGCAAGTGTGTTTACACATGTTGATCAAAACCCTTCCAATTCATGATCTGACGTTTTGGGTTTGGCTCCCCTTGTTTGAGGAATACACAAGGCTAATGGGGCAGGTAAAATGACAATATGGAAAAACAGGCTATATGTAACAGGGCGTAATGGTGGCAGGTCAAATTTCAAAATGCCACCAAACAGTTCAAGGGTCACATTCAGATGATAGTGGAGTTTGTTGAGGGCAAGAACTTCTCATGAACTCTCTAATGACACACATTCAGAACATAGTACCTCACTCATATCTGATCATGTTAGTTATGTTACCCAGCTTGTAGTTAATCTATTCATACTACTTGTGATAGATAAAATAAATATATGTATGTATAGATGTACTTTTAACAAGTTTGGAAGTTTATAATTAACAAGCACTAACTAATCTAATTTTAAAATATTTTAGCATATGCAATTTTATAGGTAGTTCATTTTTTAGATAATATACTTTATAGTCTCTTTATTATTCTGTACACATGAAGAAATTAAGATCCATAGAAACTTAGAAGTAAAGCTCCGCTATAGTAAAACAAATAATTAGTGACAGAATTGAAGCTTAAACCTAAGTTTTATCATCTTTTTCTTTTCACCCTGGAATGGTGTGACTCTTCATAGACATTAGTAATTAACAATAGAAGACCATTGGCCAACTGATTGTTTTTAGGCAGTACAGATAGTCACAAATTAGCCTATAGTTTGCCAGTCTAATTCTTTTTTTTTTTTTTTTTTTATCCTCACCCGAGGACATTTTTCCATTTTTTGTACAGACAGAGTGGGAGGGAGAGAGAGGAAGAGAGAAACATCGACGTGAAGGGACACATCGAGTGGCTGCCACCCGCACGACCAACCAGGGCCGGGGACAAACTGCAACCGAGGTACATGCCCTTAGCGGGAACCGAACCCGGGTCTCTCCGGACCGCAGGCGGATGCTCTAACCGCTGAGCCAAACCGGCCAGGGCTGCCAGTCTAATTCTGTCTCCAGTGTTTTTCTTGTATCTCATTCAGTCTGTTCAGTTTTATGTTAAATAGTCAAGTAACTGACTAAATCCATGCCAGTGTTGGACAAAGGATAAACCAGTAATGAATCTACATACATGTGCCATAGTGAATTTTAAACAAATAATTGGTGCAGGGGGATATTCTTCCCTCTGCCTCAGGTTTTCACTTGGGAGGTTAAGGGAATACAAGAGGGAAGTTTGTGTAATGTGGGAGAAAACTCACTACCCCGAGAAAAAACAAATATGGCTTGAGAAATGAGAAAATCATCTCTTTGAAAGATAAAAAAAAAAATTAGTGATATGTTCTCTTGGAGAAAGGAAGAAAAAGCAGAGTCTGAAGGACAATGGAAAGCTGTTAGGGACAAAATATCTTGGTGATAGGTATTTGAGAGAATATATCAAAAAAGACAATAAATTGAAACCCGGGTCTGTTTGGCCTGAAGGAGAACATCTTAGACAGACAGCAGTAGTGCAAGGACTGTAATTTGTAATCCAAATCAGGACCATTTTGAGAATTAAAGGGTTTGCTCTTAATAATATGCTGAGACAGTAGATGTAAATCAGAGGGAGGGTATGGTTATCTTGGCCAATAGCCACTTGGTGAAAGAATGGATAACTTGCCTTGGCTGGTGTGGCTCAGTTGGTTGAGTGTCATCCCATTCACCAAAACGTCCTGATTCAATTCCTGTTCCTGTCAGGGTACATGCCTGGGTTGTGGCTTAATCCCCTGTAAGGGGCGTGCAGGAGGCAGCTAATTGATTTCTCTCTAAAATCAATAAAAACATATTTTTTAAAAAAATGGATAACTTGTGCTTTCTCCTTAGATTTTTCTAGTTCAACAGTTACCTCTTCTGGCCATTTGGTTAATATACTAGCCTGGATTCACCAAAGACTCGGGGTTAGTCATAGGGAATTGAGAAGTTGGGAGTCTGGGGAAATGCTGAAGAGGTTAAGAAGCACATTGGTGGTTGGTCTGACAAAAAGGATTCAGTGGTATTTTGGCCTAATATGGGAGACTAGCTACTGGCAAACAGCCACTTGATCATAGCATTCTATGCTAGTTTCCACTGTCCGAAAATCTCACTTTGCCTTTGATGTACACTAATAGCAGAAAAACAACAAAATATTCTTAATCTTTGTATACTATCTTTTGTCTTTTTTTGTTGTTGTTGTTAATCCTCAACCGAGGATATTTTTTCCATTGATTTTTAGAGAGAATGGAAGGGAGAAGGGGTGGGTGGAACAGGGGAGAAACATCAATGTGAGAGAGAGACTTCGATTGGTTGCCTCCCGCATGTACCCTGACTTGGCCAGGGAGCGCACCTGCAGCCCAGGTACATGCCCTTGACCAGTAATCGAACCCACAACCCTTCAGTGTGCTGGTGAGTACTCTAACCACTGAGAAATCCTGACCAGGACTATCCTTTGTCTTTTAGGATCAAATAAAGTGAGATCATAGTCACTCTGGACTTGTTTAGGAAAGATGGAAATATGTTAGTTACTTCATGGTCATGATTTCTAGGATGTAGATAAGAGATTATACTACTCAGATTTTGTTTTATTTTGCTTTGTTTTATAGGAGGCTTAAAGAGGTTAAGAGTATAGAGGAAGGAGACTGGTTGGCGAGCTTGAACTTTAACCTTTCTGACTTTAGTTCATCATATTGTTTCTTGGTTTTATCATTGTATTGGTGTATTTATTTTATTTAAAACTTTTATCTCCTGTATTATAAAATTAACACATTCCCATGCCTAACATTTATAAAGTACAAAATGGTAGATAGAGTGAAATGACTTCCTTTCAGCACTCTCATAGCTGCCCAGTATCCCTTGTATGAGCAACCAATTTTAGCAATTTCTTTTGGATATCTAAGCAAATAATATATTAAATCCTCCCACCCTTTTAAGGGGTGTATCATAGTATATTCAGTCTTCCATTGAAATTTAGGTTGTTTCTAAACTTTTGCTATTATAAACAATGTTGCAATTAATAACATACATTTTTACAAATATAGCTGTGAGATAAATTCCTAGAATTGGAATAGCTGGGCCAAAGGGTGTAAGCATTTTTGTCATTTGACTTTATCAATTACCTAATTGCCCTTCTTAACTTGTATTAATTTATATTTCAATCAGTGATATATGATTTCTCAGTTTAAAAGTTACTTCTTTATAGATAGTTATCTGGAAAGAAAACTCCATAAGCTTCCTAAGAACCAGTTCCCCCTTGATTCACTGTCTTGACTCAAAAGATAGAAGAGAGAGGTGTCTTATCCCTGCCTTCAGTGTGTTATATCTGATGAGACTCCGGCCCTTCTTTCCCAGAGTGATATAGGTGCTCCGACTGTTATTTTCTGCTTCTACAGTGAAATAGCTTTTCCTTTATTCACATTTTAGGAATATGTTACTAGGAATTGTTAGATTTATCATTTAAAGCATGATGAACCATTATATTAATTTCATTCTCAGTGTGTTTTTTTGTATTTGAAATTAGTCTTGTGCCCCAAGAGATCATTTCCTGGATTTTCTTTCATAGTCTACTGCCATGAAAAATAAATTGACAGACAGTTCTTTCTTGTTCTCACTAATGGAAAACCTCTAATATAAAGTCCTAAATATTTATATTTGATTTTCAAAGACTTAGTATATCACCTTTTACTGAGAAAGTGTAACATCACACTCACTATCCAGGAGAAATGCTTGAAGGAATTCCATCTGTTATCCCAGAGCAGGTATTGAGGGTGAATCTGGGACTAAGAGGCAATAAATCAACAACTGGTACTTTCCTTCCTGCTTTCTTTCTTTCTTTTTTTTTAACTTTGTGTTTGTTTGTTTGTTTTTAATATTTTTTTCTTTATTTAAGGGAGAGGGAGAGAGAAATAGAAACATCGATGAGAGAAAACATTGATTGGGCCACCTCCTGCATGTCCCCTACTGGGATTGGGCCCACAATCTGGGCATGCGCCTTGACTGGGAATTGAACCAGTGACCTCTTGGTGCATGGGTCATCACTCAATCACTGAGCCACACAGCTGGGCCTTTCCTTCTTTCTTTTTTGGGGGATATTTTTTTTTTCCTTTATTGATTTTAGAGAGAGGAAGTGAGAGAGAGAGAGATAGAGAGAAACATCAATGAGCGAGAATATCAACTGGCCGCCTCCTTATGCCCCCCACTGGGGATCAGGCCCACAACCTGGGCATGTGTCCTGACCAGGAATTGAACCAGCAACTTCTTGGTGCATGGGTCGACGCTCAACCACTGAGCCACACTGGCCTTCTTTCTTAATTGCACTTTTCTGGATCACTCCCTACTGTCTGGGCAATAGTAGGGAGATTTGTTTTCAAAGCAAAGCATTAGTCATTAGTATTCAAGGCAGCTTGAAAATGAGAGAGCAAGCAGCCAAATTATAGTATTATTTTGTTCATATGTAACTGAAGTTTAAACATAAACTGAAGGTAAGGATTTTGAAGTTTTGGATTTATCTGTTGTATAAGTCTTCCCTTTCACTTCTAAAATTAAGAAAAAGCAATCATGAAATCCAATTACCTGAGCAGTTCGGTACAACCATGCTAACAAAGAGAGTTAATGGATATGATGTCAAAAGGGTCTGTCACCAGTGATGTCTGTGGTATTATTCTTCACAACACCTTCAAAGAGGGGTATGCAGAGATAAAATGGTTACACCATGCCATTTCCATTTGTTGAATATGAGATATTGAATCTGTGTATTTTTGTGACAAATTTTCTTTCGGATTTAGATGAGCGACCTGTGAGAGTTTATGCAGATGGAATATTTGACTTATTTCATTCTGGTCATGCCCGGGCTCTGATGCAAGCAAAGAACCTTTTCCCTAATACATACCTCATTGTGGGAGGTAAGAAAACATCTGTTGACTTTAGGTGCTTCCCTGAAAAAAAATTATAGTAGCCTTTTTCTTCTATCTTTTTAGCCTGAGTATATTGGCTCTTGTTTGGATTTTAAATGAGGGATACAGTACAGCCTCTCTAAAACATGAAGTATTTAACCCTGGAGAGTGAAGTTTTAAGCTCATTGACCTGGGGTGTCCAGTGTTTTTAGCTGAGTTTCTGCAGTCACAGGAAACTCCTATTGCCTATTTAAGAATGGCATTTACTTTGGATTTCAGTTTATCATTTTGAATTGACTGAATTACGAAATTCAGTTTAACAAATGTTATATGGTCCAGTCCAATCTTATAAAAATATAATAGGAAAACATTTTTAAAAACTTAACTGATGCAGAAATGCACAGCAGGTTTATTTCAAAGCCTCTCTTCTTCAAAGTGTGAACATACTATTTAGTGAGTGTTACTTCTGACAGTGTATCTCAGATTAAAAAAACATAGTTACTCAGATTGAGCTACCTCCAGAAGATTTTTCTCCAAGTGGGGAGAATGGTTGTAGTTCTAGGGAATGGGAGAGGTTGGTGACTGAGGAGTGGTTAAGCAGAGGGGGCTTTGACTTACAACTTTATAATGTGGTGACCTCAGTTTGCAGTGATGAGCTAACGCACAACTTCAAAGGCTTCACAGTGATGAATGAAAACGAGCGCTATGATGCAGTGCAGCACTGCCGCTACGTGGATGAAGTGGTGAGGAATGCCCCCTGGACCCTGACCCCAGAGTTCCTGGCAGAACACCGGGTAAGGCACTGAGCACATGCTCCCCCATTCCTTGTTCTGGATTTTCTTTAACTCTCAGGGCTTCTGGTACTTGGGCTAGTTTTCCACTAGCCTTATTTTACTTCTACTTCTATGTCAGTTTCACATAGAGGAGATGACAGTGCTATTACTACTACTAATAGTCATCCCTGACATTTATGTGGAGTTTGATGGTTTATAAGCACTTTTACATCCATTATATTTCATTTGCTCCCCATAACAGTCTTGTTGGGTAATTATTATTTCTATTTTATATATGAGAACAAGGCCAGAGAGACCGAATAACCTGGTCCAGGTCACACTGTAGAAATTGACTGCTTCACGTTGGCCTGAGGTCTGGAGAGACCCCGGTTTGGTTCCCGCTGAGGGCACGTACCTCAGTTGTGGTTTGTCCCTGGCCCTGGTTGGGTCGTGTGGGTGGCAGCCACTCGATGTGTCCCTTTCACGTCGATGTTTCCCTCCCTCTCTCTCTCTCTCTCTCTCTCTCTCTCTTTCCCCCTCCCTCCCACTCTATCTGAACAAAATATCAAAAAAATGTCCTCGGGTGAGGATAAAAAAAAAAAAAAAGAAAGAAATTGACCACTTCAGTTAAGTGATTCCCCCACTACCACCACACACTGTAGGTGTCCATCCTCATAGCATACCGGTTTCTTTAGAATATACATAGCCCCAGGACTTTCGGTCAAGATGGCTGCATAGGTAAATGCGGTATCACGTCCTCCCACAACCACATCAAAGTTACAACTAAAATACTGAACAGCCAACATTCAAAACCGCCTAAATTGCGCTGAATGAAAGTCCTACAACTACGGAATTAAAGCAGCAGCCACATGAGACTGGTAGGAGGGGTGGAGGTGGACGGGCTGGTCCCACACCCACATGTGGCGGATAAAAATCAGGAGGACACCTCGGCTGGGAAGGTCCTCCCTGAGGACTGAGGGGTCCCCGTCCCACACCAGGCGCCCCGCTCAGGGTTCCAGTGCCAGGAAGAGAAGTCCCCATAACTTCTGGCTGGAAAAACCAGCGGGAACCAAGGCTCAGGGAGGCTGTGGTGGCTGGAGCCCCCGGCAGCTCCTCTTTTTTTTTTTTATCCTCACCCAAGGACATTTTTTGTTCAGAGAGAGTGGGAGGGAGGGAAAGAGGGAGAGAGAGAGAGACAGAGAGAGAGAGAGAAACATCAACATGAAAGGGACACATCGAGTGGTTGCCACCCACATGACCCAACCAGGGCCGGGGACAAACTGCAACCAAGGTACATGCCCTTAGCGGGAACCGAACCCAGGTCTCTCTGGACCGCAGGCCAACGCTCTAACCTCTGAACCAAACCGGCCAGGGCCCAGGCAGCTCCTCTTAAAGGGCCCGTGCATGGACTTATCAGACTCACTCCCTCTAAGCTTGGAGGGGAGGCAGTTTGAGGGGCGCCAGAGACATACAAAGAAGAACTGAACTGTGTGGCATTGGAGCGAGGGCTGGAGAGGGGGCTTTCTCCGGAACAAACATGTTGTCAGAGGCCTTTGTTCCTTTGGTGAGCCCTTCCCCGGTACAGCAGACAGATGCCATATCTGGGACTCCAGCAACCTGGCTCACACTGGTAGCCCCGCCCTGGTGATTCCCTGAGGCCCCGCCCCACCCAACTTTCAGGCCCACCCAAGCTGTTGCCAGTCGCTTAAACATAGGATTGGCCTGTCTTGGATCCTGCTTCAGGTTTTCTTAAATTATTTCAAACAAGCAGCATCTGGTCTCAGCTAGCCCCATACCACTCGTTAAGTAATACATAGAAACAAACACAGGGAGGCAGCCAAAATGAGGAGACAAAGAACAGGTCCCAAATGAAAGAACAGAACAAAACCCCAAGAAAAGAACTAAGCGAAATGAAGATAAGCAACCTAACAGATGCTGAGTTCAAAATACTGCTTATAAGGATGCTCAATGAACTTAGTGAGAACCTCAGCGAACTTAGTGAGGGCCTCGAGAGCATAAAAAAGGACCAGGCAGAAAATGAAGAAGGCACTAACTGAAATAAAGAATAATTTACACAGATTCAGTAGTAGAGTAGGTAAAGCCAAGAAGCAAACCATTGATTTGGAATCTAAGGAAGCAAAAAACACCCAATCAGAACAGCAAAATGAAAAAAGAAGCCAAAAACATGAGGATAGTGTAAGGAGCCTCTGGGACAACTTCAAGCGGGCCAACATTCACATCTTGGGGATGCCAGAAGGAGAAGAGAGAACAAGAAATCGAAAACCTCTTTGAAACAATAATGGCAGAAAACTTCCCTAACTTGGTGAAGGAAACAGACATACAAGTCCAGGAAGCACAGAGAGTCCCAAACAAGATGAACCCCAAGAGGCCCACACCAAGACACATCATCATCAAAATGCAAAAGGTTCAAGACAGAGAGAATCTTAAAAGCAGCAAGAGAAAAGCAGTTAGTTACCTACAAGGGAGTTCCCATAAGACTGTCAACTGATTTCTCAAAAGAAACTGCAGGCCAGAAGGGAGTGGCAAGAAATATTCAGAGTGATGAAAAGCAAGAGCCTACAACCAAGATTACTCTATCCTGCAAAGCTGTCATTTAGAATCGACGGCCATATAAAGAGTTTCGCAGACAAGAAAAAGTTAAAGGAGTTCATCACCACCAAACCGTTATTATATGAAATGTTGAAGGGTCTTTTTGAAGAAAAAGATAAAATATGAACAAACAAAATGGCAATGAATACATATCTATCGACAATTGAACGTGCAAACAAAATGAACAGGCAGAACAGAAACATTCTCATAGATACAGAGAACATTTTGTCGGTTGCCAGATGGGAGGGGGTTTGGGGGAATGGGTGAAAAAGATGAAGGGATTAAGAAGTACAAATTGGTTTCTAGAATGACAAACCTCAAAGGGAAGGGGGTTGGGGGGTGGGAAGAAATAAACCAAAAAACTTATATGTAACCAATGGACACAGACAACAGTGTGGGAAAAGGCAGGAGGGGGGCAGGAGTGGGGAAGAGGGGGTCAATGGGGGGAAATGAGGAACATGTGTAATACATTCAACAATAAAGATTAAAAAAATAAAATAAAATAAAATAATAAACATACCCTCCAAGTCAAAAAAAAAAGAATATACATAGCTCCAGCCATGCTTCCCTCACATTCCAGGAAATAAGACAGATAAACATAGACTTCTCTTGTGTTGACTTAAATTTAGTTTCAGGACTTTGATTTTGGGCTAGAGGTTGTGTGCAATCAGAAACCCGCAAGGTTTCTCACTTTTGCTCAGTGAGTTAATATTATAGAGACCCTTACTGCCTTTTTATTCAGCCACATTAAAGCAACAGGTTACCTGTAAAAGATATAAAAGATGATAGGGATTTATCAGGTCAGATTGGAGTCTCTCAAGCCTGAGGAACCTGCAAGCATATCGTCAGTTCCCTACAGGGGTGTATGGAATGTTGAAGGTGAATTGTTCAATGAAACAGGAAGGAACAGAGGTAGCCAAAGTGCTTCAAAAGCTATACTTTTGAAGGGTAGGCCTGAAGCTAAGGGATATTTGTTACAACTATGTAGGATTAGGACACACCTTTGACAGTTCTCTAACTTGTCTACATCAACACTTAGCCAGTGGTACCAAAGGTAGTGAATGAGATTATTCTCAATAACACAGCCAGGCTTTGCTTTTCTTTTTGTTAGCATCATATCCTCAACAACAAGGCTTGCTTGCCCACCATTCTTAGTTTTGCCTATGGATCCCTGATAAGTTGTTTATGGGTAACTGAAATGTTAGCTGAGAGTCCCTGACACAGTACTGATGAGCATGCTTCACACTGCAGTGGCTTCTGGGAGTTGGGTATGGTGGTATTAGCAATTATATTAGCAAAGGGTATATGGCCTATTAAGGAAGGAATAAGTGAGGTTTGACGTATTTCCCAGAAAGGTTATTGATCTCAGTGCCCGTGGTCTCTTCACTGTTGCAAGAAGTATTGATGCCCTGGCCGGTTTGGCTCAGCGGTTAGAGTGTCAGCCTGCAGTCCAGAGAGACCCGGGTTCAGTTCCCGCTAAGGGCACATACCTCGTTTGCAGTTTGTCCCCGGCCCTGGTTGGTCGTGCGGGTGGCAGCCACTTGATGTGTCCCTTTCATGTCAATGTTTCTCTCTCTCTCTCTTCCTCTCTCTCCCTCCCACTCTATCTGAACAAAAAATGGAAAAATGTCCTCGGGTGAGGATAAAAAAATATATATATATTGACTTCATGAAATGGTAGATCTTGAGACCTAAAAGTCTCACTGCTTTGGATTTTGCATTTCTCAGGAGTATAGGTGTGTCTGTTCTAATAAAAGTGTTCTTGTTTGCTATTTTTATATTCCCACTCATGTCCTGGTCTGAGAGAGAAACCAGTTAATAAAGAAATGACCTTGTTCTCATACTTCCAGAAGCCCTTGTTTGACTAATCCTTATAGACCCAGGTGGATGGAGGATAATATTCCTTTCTTCTTTCCTTGCCTCCACCCACCAACTAGCACACCCAGCCCAGTTTTCCAAGCATGGTGACTGGCATACAGTGTAAGGGTAGCACCTCCAGTACACCAGGAGAAATAACTAAAAAAGAAACTTGCTGGCTTCAGATTTATGATCCATAAATAACTAGGTTGAGTGGCTTTTTATGAGCAAAGCAATGAGAGATAAAGAGAAAATGTCCATTGAAGGCCTGGCCTCTCCTTTTTGTCCCTTTTCTGGGCCTTCAGTGTGCACTGGTTCTTTTTGCATGCAGGTATCCTGGGTTTCAAATGATGTTTCCTTATTTTCAGATTGATTTTGTAGCCCATGATGACATCCCTTATTCTTCTGCTGGCAGTGATGATGTTTATAAGCACATCAAGGAAGCGGGTGAGTACGTTGATATGCATAGTCTCACTGTGATGTGCACAGTCTCAGAGGTAGTGACAGAGATTCAGCCACATTGCTGCTTTACAGAGAAAAGTTTATACACTGAGAAGTTCAATATCCACTTTCAGGTCACACTTTGGATAGGAGGTTAAGGTGAGCATAGCACTGAGTTCCATCAGTTCCCAGTCTAAACATCTACTATTGATAGCTCTTTTAATTTCAGGAAACCTTTCTCCAGTTCTATATTTTTCGTAATATTAGGGCCATATAGCTCCTCCTTTCCTTAACCCCTATCCTTTGATTCATTCCTCCTTCTGTATGTCAGTATCTCCAGACTTCCCTTAGTAATACAGATTCTGTTTTTTGAGGAAAGGAAAGGAATGTTGCTCCCAGTTTCCATCGCATCCTGTAGCCTGAGCTAACCAGAATGTCACAGTGTTTGTATGTGTTTTGGGGTTAGGCATGTTTGCTCCAACACAGAGGACAGAAGGTATCTCTACATCAGACATCATCACCCGAATTGTCCGGGACTATGATGTGTATGCCAGACGGAACCTACAGAGGGGCTACACGGCAAAGGAGCTCAATGTCAGCTTCATCAATGTGAGTTCCAACCTCATCCCAGAGTTCCCTGGCCCTAAAAGACACACACTGCCACCCACCTCATCTGAGCTAAGCTTGCTTTTCAGTTTTTTCTAAATATTAATAATTATTTATTTATATTTATAAATAATTCCTCCAAAAACTCATTAAATCCTCTTTGCAGATAACACTGTGCTAAGTTCTTTACAAAGAGAATAAAACAGGCCTTTTCTGCCTTTATGGTCTAGTATCAACACATTGATATAAAGACACACAACCGATTAAATAAATAAGAATGTGTAACTTACAAAGTACAATATGTATATCAAATATATTTAAAATAGTGGTTCTTAGCCTATTTTTTTATTTGATGTTCTTTTGAAAATGTGATGAAAGCTGTGGGTCCTCTCCCTGTGGGTAGTGACACACATTTTGCAATTTCTCAGGACACATAGACCTAAGTTTTAAAATTTGATTTATGAAAGTAAAGTTTACCTTAGCTTGATAGTGTCCTTTAGCAGCAAACTGCTATACATTTTGTATACAAATATACCTCTATAAAGTATATTTATTTTTTTTATCCTCACCTGAGGACATTTTTCCATTTTTTGTTCAGATAGAGTGGAAAGGAGAGAGAGGGAGAGAGAGAGAGAAACATCGATGTGAAAGGGACACAGCGAGTGGCTGCCACCTGCACAACCCAACCAGGGCTGGGGACAACCTGCAACCGAGGTACGTGCCCTTAGTGGGAACCGAACCCGGGTCTCTCCGGACCGCAGGTCAATGCTCTAACCGCTGAGCCAAACCGGCCAGGGCTGTCAAGTTTATTTAAAAAGAAAGCTGCTAACTATATCTTCTACATTGATAGTTCATGCTTCCTCACCTGTGCCTCACTTTGAATTATGAATAGTGAAATGATTTCATCTGAATATGATTTATCTATGCAGATAAACCATAGCTGCTGTTAACCCCCTGCTACAGAACCTTTGATCTATTTTCGGGTGTTTAAAAACCTTAAATATATTTTCTTACTCCTTTATGATTGGGAAATTATAAGAATACTTTTCATTTGACTGAAGTCTCCCTTCCCCACCTCCCACCCCAGTTAGGTCCCACCATTGTCTCTACTTAGGGAAGATGGTAGGACCAAAGAGTATCATCTTAATTTTGCGAATGAGCTTACAGACCTCCAAATACTAAAGACAACTCTTAAAATCATAGACTAAGCCAGTGATAGAGAAGAAAAATCCAATACAATAAATGCATTAAGTAAAAGGTCTACTGCTTCTATATTCAACCTGTTGTAGTTGGCTTGTTCTTGGCAGTATTGTGAGTGATCTTGTTGCTCCCTTTACATCTCTGCCTAGAATGGGATTTGGGTTATGTTGGGCATGTTTATGTTCTAAATCTATGTTATGTCTTAAAAAAGGTGACTTCTTACTGGGCCGACCCTATATATTTCATTTAGTTCGGGTTTCCACGATGTTAAAATTATTACACTTTTGTATAAGATGACCATCCAGAACATATCTGTTACTATGCTAGAGAAGTGTGGGGTAGATTAAACAAAGTGAACATCTGAAGACTAAAAAGAGTGTCAGTAGAGTGCCGAACCATGGTTTTTCCCCCTGTGGTATGAAAGGTCAGAGTGGGTATTATTTCTCAAAACAGTTCTTTCTCTATCTAGGAGAAGAAATACCACTTGCAGGAACGGGTTGACAAAGTAAAGAAGAAAGTGAAAGATGTGGAAGAAAAGTCAAAAGAATTTGTTCAGAAGGTAGAGGAGAAAAGCATTGACCTCATTCAAAAATGGGAGGAGAAATCCCGAGAATTCATTGGAAATTTCCTGGAAATGTTTGGTCCAGAAGGAGCGCTGGTATGTTCTTTCCTGCTGGATAACTTAGGGAATTTTAGGAAAATTTAGGGAATTCTCATGCTGTGGAAAGAATTACAGAGTCCTTGAGCAGAAAGGGACATTGACGTTCAGAAGTTATCTGATCTTTTCCCCTTATTGGGCAGAACTATATTCAATTATCCCCAAAAATTTCTTTGAAATCATTACAGAAAGAGGTTACATAGTCTCTTAAATAATTTTGTCAGCTCTTTGTCAAGGTCCAAATCTGGTGACAAGATAAGTGAGTACTTCTACACGATACTTTTAGATAGAAGGAAAGAAAAGAAGAAAAGAAAAAAACAGTAAAAAGAAAGCTGCCTCCACCACAAACAGCTGCTTCAGGATTGCTGGGTGAGGTGGGAATTATGTCCTTGAGGAGTAGCAAGGTCTCTTCTTTAGCGTTCAGAGAACTCTAAAACTCGGAAAGGTACCTTTTTGTCTGAGTTAGTTCCTTTGTTCTTGCCTGGAGCCTGGACTACAAGCCAAGTAGTCTTTTAAGAATTCTTTTAACATGGAAGTCAGGATTGAGTGACTGGATAGCAGCGGGACCCTTTAGATAAGTTGTATGACACAGACCACTCTAGGGAGAAAATTACTTAGAAGTATAGCTATGTTCTCCTCTGGCTTACTCGGTCACTTTTGACATTGCAGAAGGCAGTCGTGATCATTTGAAGTCTCAGACACACCAGTGATGATTGAGTAGGATCCATAGGTTTCTTCTAACTCTTCCTTTTGGTCTCCCCAGAAACATATGCTGAAGGAGGGGAAAGGCCGGATGCTGCAGGCCATCAGTCCAAAGCAGAGTCCCAGCAGCAGCCCCACTCGTGAACGCTCCCCCTCTCCCTCTTTCCGATGGCCCTTCTCTGGCAAGACTTCCCCTCCTTCCTCCCCAGCAAACCTCTCCAGGCGCAAGGCTGCAGCCTATGATATCAGTGAAGATGAAGAAGACTAATTTTTCATCCCTCCTTTCCTCTCCCTTCCCTCTGTCCCATCACCTTCAGAAGTTCTCTGTTGAATTCCAAATTGTGATCCCAACAATAAATCTAAGGACAGCTACAAAGGAAAGACAGTTGGGCAAGAGGACCTCAGATGGGGGGACAAGACAGCCCATTCTCCAAGAGACACCATCCACCCAGGAAGGAGGCTGACTACCTGTTCTGCATCCACATACCCTCCCCACGGACTTCGCTTTACTGTTTATGTTCATGTGATCTTGACAGGGAATTTGTCATTTTTATTAATTTTTAAAATTAGTCTTTCAAATATAGTAAATAGAACTAATTTTTTACCCCTGAGGAATGGGCAGAAGGAAATGGTATAATACCCAGAGGCCTTTTCTTCCTGATACACCGTGTTTGCCTTCTGTTCTAAGGCAAATTGGCTTGCCAGGTCCTTCCAGCAGTGAGCTATGCTGATGGGTGATTTTGGGTTGGGGATGGAATATAATTTTGGTTTCCTTAAAAAAATGCTAAAGGCTGGGTGTTAGTCACAAATCCCCTAATGGTACTGCTGACACATGTGTCAGTGTGGCTGTGGGAAGGAGGAGATCGAAGCCTAACTGTTCTTACTCCCTGAGGAGTTTCTTGCTGGACCCAGTGGGGTCCCTGAAGACACTAATGGGGATGGAACCAGAGCACATGGCATCAGCTGCGACTTTTCTGCTGTGTTCATCTCAGAAAACTCTGTGGCCATTATTTGGAGCTCTTTCCTGTAATCTGTCTCGAGGGGAAAGAACACGTTCAGGTTTACTGTGTTCGTGGAGTGAGTGGGGGGACAGTGCTCAATCCTACAAAGTCCATTTAGATTCATTTCCCCCCTGGAGTAAGTCCCCTGCCCTGCTACTCCTATTTCTATGCTTATTACCTCGCTTTTTACAAAGGATACTTTGTAAATGTCTGCAATTTGAACATGATCTGTTAATCCATGCTGCTCATAGCCATACTGAATAGAGATTTGCTTGGGACATAGACGAAAAAGCCTGAGGAAATACCCACCTTCCTATCTTGACCTCTGCCCCACTTAAGAATGTTCTTGACTGGAACCAGTGCTCCACCTGGTGTTTGTTTTCCTCTGAGAGTAGCAGTTGCAGGGACTTATTTTCCTCTACCGCCCTCCAGCAAGCCACGAAGCAAGGGTTCCCATGACAAAGATACGGTAGGTTCTCTCCCTCTCCCACATGTGCCTGGTGGTGATGGTCCCACTGCCCCTGTTAGGTTGCCCATGGGGATTCATCACTTAAATTTCACATCAGAAAATGCTGAAGTTTAACACTTGCTGTTGAGCTTGAGTTCATCATTTTGAACCTCCAGCATCCTACAGCTACTGACTTAGATCATCCTTTATTAGTAATCCTGTAGCTAGGTGCAGGGAAGAGAGCTTATGTCCAGGCCCCACCCTGTCACTCATAAATACCCCTTGTAGGGGTGGAGTTTTAGCGTTTTCAGCTACGGAAACCACATTTTATCTTTTCTTGCCCCTCTGCTAGGGCTGTGAGCATCTCATGGTCATCTCCCCTTCTGGTAAAAGCTGCCTGCCTGCACACCAGGACTGCCTAGGTTCTTAAAGCAGGCCACCCAAAGGCAGAGCATGGCAGAGTAGAGGGACAAAGGGGGCCCTCTTGTCCTGATGGCCTATGAAAACTGTTTCTAACTCTTCTCGTGAAGTGTTATTTTTACTATCAAATCTGGTTTACACGAACTTTGGCTTGGAATCCTTTGAAATAGATGAAGTTCAAGTTTTCCTACATTACCCAGCTTCATATGATCATGGTTTAACTTTCCTGCTTCAGTTTTCTTTCTTGGGGAATTCCGTCTATTTCAGTCTTACTCTCCTTGGTATAGAAAGGCAATGAAGTCACCACTGAAGCCCTACTTGTTCCCTCAAAATACACATTATCCAGTATGTTTGGAAAGGGAGATGCCCCAAAAGTGTTTTTTCTCCCTGTAGTCATTCCTCTCAAGTATGTCATTTGGGTCTCAAATCTTTGGGCCCTCCTCCTCTGCTCTGTCAGTGGGCTGCCTGTGGCATGCTGGCCCTTGGAATATGACCCCTCGGCTGATAACACTCTGTGAGACTGGGGCCAGCTGGTGCACACATTCTTGGAAAACTCTTGCCCCTTTTGGTGAGTCTCTGCAGCCTCAGTCTCCTAACACTAGTATATCTTCAAATAATTTTGAAAGCAACAAATTTTATGGTGTGGCATGTTAGATGCTTTGGGATAAATGTGACCCTGGGTGCTGGATGAGTTGGGTGGATGGAAGAAGCTGCTGGGATGATGCAGTCTTTGATCATTTGTGCCTAATTAAATGAGGTTAGTGGTTCACATACCACACTATGCCTGTGACTTGTAAATCTTCTAATATTAATGTTTGAGGTTGTGGAGCTGTTTCTCTGTATCCCACACACAAAGCTGTCAGCCTGAATAGGTCAAATGTGGCAGAGATGGGACAGCCTTCAAAGTTGGTTGGCCCCAAAGCCTCTGTACAAGACGGAAGGAGAGGAAATCGGAGAAGGAAGTCCTATCGCTGGTGCTGAGGTGCCATTTCAGCAGTTTCCTTGAGATGGGGTGGCAGAAAGTTTGCTCTTTTCATATACTAGACTCAGTAGCACTGAAAACTGGAGGTTGAAACTTGAGAGGAATTGAAATGGATCATTTGTACTGCTGAGTTTGGGTAAGGAGGTTGGGGATGTAAGGAAGTTGGAAATCTTGAAGAGGAGAAGAAATATGAGTGAGGTCAAGAGAACATTTGACCTTTTCTGATCGCTGATGACTTCTTAGGCAGCACTTGAGTTACAGTTTTTAAACTTTGTGACCACACAGCTGGCCAGGCAGCCTCTGGGTATTCCCTCTACAATAGTTCTTCACAGTGCTTTTGTTACTCTCTCCCTGTATTATCTTGATTTGTGGATAGCTTTTGATTTTCTGGAGCTCATTGCCTTTTAATCCTGTTCCCAATCTCATATTTATAGTCTTTCCAAATCAGTTATACTTTGCTGCTTTTCTTTAATTCCCTAAAAGCCATAACTTCTACATTTTCTGTCAGCACACACTCTTACCAGAGGTTGAACCAACCAACACATGCAGAAAAACAAAACAAAACTCCCTTAACAATGTTTTTAACTAATGGTAATTTTTTAAGCTTACCAATATAAGTATTTTTGAAGGTTATATTTTTCAAAGTCATATGATGATTGTTCTTTTCTCTCATAGAATAGATTGTCATGGGATAGAGAGTGGTCCCTAGCTTCTATTTTTCCAAATAAGTAGAACATGTTCTTGGGGTTATACTAGTAAATGTTAATTTTCTTTAAAAGAAGAAAGATTTTTCTGTCTGCCAAACATTATATGTTAGTGCTCAGATTGGAATAGAAGACAAAAGTGTGAGGTTGAACATTAAGGATGACTCAGGTTGTGTTGCTTTAGGTTTGAGATAGGGTTTCCCAACCTTTTTTTGGAGGTATTTGACTGTTTTGAACAGAGACTTGGTTGGTTGGATTTTTTGTATTGAGGAACCTGAAAAAACTAGTCTTGGAAAGAAATGCTGGCCTCGGCATGAAAGTTAACCCCGTCTCCAGTGCTGATGTCTGGGGGAATGTTTTCTTCAGTTGATGTTCAGTATATTGTTTTCCTGTCTGAATGTCATTAATTTGTTCAGAGTTTTTCTGGCTTTTGTCATTTAGCCAAATAAAATCAAAGTGGTTTTACTTAATGTTTTGTTTTCTTTTTTTTTAAAACCTGATACGCATGTGTATGATACATTTTATATATTTGGAGGTTTTTCCTGTACTCTCAAATCCTCTGCTTTTGCATCCTAATTTATCTGCTCAAAATCAAGCTTCATGACCATTTTATTGGGGGATTCCTTTTGCCGCTTGTCACAGAAGACTTAAAAAGCCATTGTCCCACTCTGGAGGCTGACCCAGATCTCCAGGTCTGATGCCATCAGTGCTCTGACAACACATCGGTAAGGAGGACACCACCTTGGATCCCTTCTCCGGGAGCCTGGTTTCTTTGAGGCTTTGGGCTTGTACTATTTTGCCTGACTGAGTTCTACTCTCATTCTTATACCACACAAACTACCATATATTCTTCCCCCTTTCATTTGCTTCGAGGAAACTCAGAGTGACCTTTCAGTATACAAGCTTTAAGGGCTAATAGTGGCACCCACAGGGTAATGTGCCCAGTTATAGAGTTTCAAACTCTATCCTATTTTTCTATTACAAAACTAAATTACCTGCCCTGGCCGGTTTTGCTCAGTGGTTAGAGCGTTGGCCTGCAGACCAATGAGTCGCGGGTTTGATTCCAGTCAAAGGCACATATTTCGGTTGCAATTTGTCCCCAGCCCTGGTTGGGGTCGTGCAGGAGGCAGCCACTCGATGTGTCCCTTTCACGTTGATGTTTCTCTCCCTCCCACTCTATCTGAACAAAAATGGAAAAATGTCCTCGGGTGAGGATAAAAAAAAACACACCAAAAAACTAAATTACCTTTCCCAGGCAAGATCCAAGACAATTCCATCCTATTGTATAAGTCACCATCGCTATAGTCCAAAGTAATTTGCAGTTTGTGCTGACAATGGACCCCTTCCCCATTTGGTCAGTGCTGAGGGACTGGAGAAATCTGTGCCCATCTCATGAGCACAGTGTCTTTCACTGTCCAAGTCATCCATCTCAGGCTTTCGGGTTCACCTCCAGGTCTGGAGAAGGGAAAGGTTCATATCCAATCTTGTTATCTTTCCTTCGGTAGTATATTCGTGTCAGCACAGTCATCAGAAAAGTCTCCAGTATGAGGAGGTGGCAATTCATCACTGCAGTGTGGAGTGAAATAGAATGTAGGTTATACTAAATTACAGGGGTGGTATCCCACCTGCAGCCCTGGCGTGTGAGTTGAACACCACTTTCTGCAATTTATCCTCAAACCAGGACCTAGAGGCTGTCCTGAGTAACATAGCAGGTTAATGGTAGAGCCAGAACCAGAACTTGGCTCTCCACCTTCTGCAGTCTGAGGCTAACATTAAAACTCATTTCTTTTGTATGTTTCATCAGCATGACCTACTGCTCCCTAACCAAACCATTCCTCTCCCAAGAGCTAAGGATTGAACCCATGGCTGCCTGGGTTGGCTGCCAGGCTAGCCCAAAGCTGTGGACTTGCAGCTGTCCTCTGTGTGATCAGAGAAGTCATAGCCCCCTTAAATCTCTGCTGGGGTTCTTGGAGATCCCTCTCTGAGTATTTGGAACAGCAGCCCACCTGGCCCAACCTCTGTTCTAAGGTCCTCTCTTCCCTGACCCGCCTCCTCTCACCCATCCGGGAATGGGTTGTGAGCTCACCTTGAGACCTGATTTTAGAGGAGAAGGGAGGCGAACAAGCAATCTGCCCGCCGTTGGCCAGGACTGAGAAGATGGATGGCTGCAGGGCGGTCAGGATGAGGAGTACCTGCAGAAGGGAAAAGAAGCGAGGGCAGGGCCATGTCCGTGGCGTTGAGGCCAGCTGGCCACTGTCATGCTTGTCCTGCCTCTGAGCATTCGGCCAATCTTTAGATCTGTGCAGTTCCAGAGGGTTAAGACTCACACCTGATTAAATCTTGGTGGAGTTTCTAATCTGTAGGAGAAGTACAACCTCCTCTTCTACCCAGTATTTTCTAAGAGTTCCTGAGAAGAAACAAGAACTGAGTTGGAGTTCACATTTATTCCCCTATTTCAGCCATGGCTGCTAAGAGCACTTAATGGATGAAAAGGGTGGAAATTAGGGAAGAGTCAGTCCATCTACCTCAAGTAACTGAGACCCCTGCTGAGAGAATGATGGACAATTAACCATTCACGTGCCTTTTGGTGAATCTCTGCCAGGGGCTGAGGGTGAAGGGGAAGAGGGGACGAGTGTTCAATGGGTACAGGGTTTCCGTGTGGAAGATGAAAAGTTCTGGGGATGGTTGGTGGTGATGGTTATACAACAACGTGAATGCACTGAATGCCACTGAACTGTACAAGTAAAAATGGTTAAAACTGTAAATTTTATTTTATGTGTATTATACCACAAGTTTAAAAAAGAAGAAGAAGCCCTGGCCAGTTTGGCTCAGCGGTTAGAGCGTCGGCCTGCGGTCCGGAGAGACCTGGGTTCGGTTCCCGCTAAGGGCATGTACTTCGGTTGCAGTTTGTCCCCGGCCCTGGTTGGTCGTGCGGGTGGCAGCCACTCGATGTGTCCCTTTCACATCGATGTTTCTCTCTCTCTCCCTTCCCCTCTCTCCCTCCCACTCTATCTGTACAAAAAATGGAAAAATATCCTCGGGTGAGGATTAAAAACAAAACAAACAAACAAAAAAAAGAAGAAGAAAAGCTCATCTTCGTCCAGAGGCCCCGCGAGCACCATTTGCCTTAGAACTTGCTCTCCCCGAGGCAAGGCAGACTCGCTGGGCCAGGCTAGCCCTGGGTACCACAGGCAGGCGTCGCAATGAGGGGCTCTGACCCCGCGGCCTGACCCTAAGCGCTTCGGGGCCCAGATCCTGTCTGCCCTCAGCCCCGGCTCCATTCTGGCTCTTCTCTCTTCCTCTAGCCCCTTCCATTCTACCTGCTATGCGCCTGGAAATCCACATTTCAGGGGCATCTGCTTAGACCAAAGGAGAATTTGTGTGAAATCATTCTGTTAACTGCAATGCAGTTATTATTTCTTGGGAGCAGGAGAAGGGCCCGGCACGAGACAGAAAGAGTGAAGAGAGAAGGAAAACAAGATATTACATTTGATGGAGAAGTTGTTTTTCGACTTGGAGAATGGAAAGTGCAAGAAGCGAACAAACGTGCCTCTGTGAGACTTTCAGAAGAGGTGTGAGGATGAGGGGCTGTGATGAGAAGGGACGTGGGCTGGGGGGTCAGATCTGGGTGCGAATTCTATCCCTATCCCTATGTGCCTTTGAACAAGTCCCATAACATCTCTGGGTCTCAGTTTCCGTATTTGTAAAATAAAAATAGTAATGACACTTAAGCGTATTGTGAAAATTTAAATGTAATGTATGAAGCCCTGGCCAGGTGGCTCAGTTGGCTGGAGCATCATCCCACACACCAAAAGGTTGTGGTTTTGATTCCGGGTCAGGGCACATACCTAGGTTGTGGGTTGGGTCCCCAGTTGGGGCCCATACAGGAGGCAACTGATCAAAGTTTCTCACATTGATGCCCCCCTCCCCACCCCACTTCCTTTCTCTAAACCAGTGGTTCTCAACCTTCCTAATGCCGCGACCCTTTAATACAGTTCCTCATGTTGTGACCCCCAACCATAAAATTATTTTTGTTGCTACTTCATAACTGTAATTTTGCTACTGTTATGAATCGCCATCAGAAGTATGTGTTTTCCTGTGAAAGGGCCGTTCGGCTCCCAAAGGGATCACGACCCACAGGCTGAGAACCGCTGCACACATCCTAGGGTGAGGATTAAAAGAAAAGTAATGCATGAAAACTGCCTGGCATGTGGGGGAGGTAGTTCATAGTTGTAGCTGAGACAATAGTGATACTGCTGATGGTGATGGATTATAGGGTTTAGGAAGTAATCACAGAAAAGAAAAAACAAAAGCAGAAGAATTTAAGGTTTGATAATACATGTTATGGGTTGAATTGTGCTCCCAAAACAGATCTGTTGAAGTCCTAACCCCCAGCACCTCAGAATGTGACCTTATTTTGAAACAGCATCATTGTTTTGGTTAACCAATTATATGTAATTGGTTAACATGAAGTCCTACTGGAGTAAGGTGGGTCCTTATTCAAACATGACTGATGTCCTTGTAAAAAGAGGAAAAGAGACACAAGACAGACACGTGAGGGGTAAAGGCCATGTGATGACAGAGGCAGAAATTGAGGCGCTGCAGCTGCAGGTCAAGGCTGCCGAGATTGCTGGCAACCCTCCAGCAGCCAGGAGGAAGAAGGAAGGGTTCTCCCTACAAGTTTCAGAGGATGCACAGCCCAACTGACATCTTGATTTTGGACTTCTAACCCCCAGAACCGTGAGAGACTGAATTTCTGTTGTTTTAAGCCACTCGGTGGTATTTTGTTATGGCAGCCCCAGCAAACAATTACAGCACAGAAAAGCAAAAACTGGGAAGGGGCAGGGGTCATTTTCCAAATCTCGCAGGAAACCTAAAGCTTAAGAAGATTCTCAGACCCACTTTTAGCCTGTATTAGTCTCACCTCCTAACCCCAATTAGTCGTAGCTCTATTATGAACCATCTTTTCTCCCCCAGGGTGTAGTTACCTGGAAAAGAGCAAACTTGGCTCCTATATTCTGCTCGCCCAGGTGCAGCCTAGCTTGACGGAAAAGGATGCCCAGGGTCCAGAGAGCCAGCAGGGTGGACACGCCAAGGAAAGTGTTGATCCATAGAGCTGTGCTCGCCTCAGAAATCTGGTGGCAGACCAAAGAGGCGGCAGTGAGGGAGACAAGCCCTTTTCTTTCTTCCCCCAAGACAGGTAATTTTAAAAAGCCTCATGGCCTTGGCTTATTCCAGTCTCCTGTGTCCCACCATGGTCCCTGAACCTCTATTTTTCCCCAGTCACGCTGTCCCCTGGTATCAGGATGTTGGCTCCAGCTATTCCTTCTACAGCTCGAAGGTGCTGGAGGAGTCTCAGAGTTTGCTGCCCCTTACTCCTGGCTTACGTCTGCTGGCTCATAGATGCCGTCGGGGATGAGAAACAGGCCCACCAGGCACAGGGTTATCTTGAAGAAGGCGTACTGAAAGGGGCCCAGCATCAGCAGCTGAAGCTTCTTCCTGAGGGGAGAAGCGGGTTAGGAACATGGACCCACAGACTACCCAACCAAGAAGACTCATCTCCCTCAATGGGCTCCTGGGCTGAGGCGTGGCGGTCATCAGACACCAAAATGGTTAAATGGATGGAGACGGAGGAAGAAGCCAGAGTGTTGAGAGCACTGGCAACCCTTCCTGCTTCCCACTCGCTGCGAGACCAGAACGCCGCCTTTGGAGCAAGAACTATCAGTGTTGACCCAACCTCACTAACCAGAATGAGCAGAGGAGGCAAGAAAACAGCCTAGAGTCCAGTTTGCTCTGTGTGGCTGAACTCTGTAGGGGGCAGTGGGCTTAAGTGATGAGAACTTTGGAGTTCTTTCTCTGCTTCCCAGACCCGTGGGTGGATGCCCAACGTGTGGGTCCTGGCTGGGCATGCCCACCGTTTTATCGTTGGGTTTGTCCCATACAAGACTAATTTCACTGGCTGGTTTGGCTCAGTGGCTGGAGCATTGGCCCGTGGACCAGAGAGGCCTGGGTTCGGTTCCTACTAAGGGCATGTACCTCGGTTGTGGTTCATCCCCAGCCCTAGTTGGGGTCGTGTAGGTGGCAACCACTCGATGTGTCTATCTCATATCGATGTTTCTCTCTCTTCCTCCTCTCCCTCCCACTCTATCTCAATATAAGTGCAAAAATGTGCTCGGGTGAGGATTTAAAAACAAAACAAAAACAGAGGCGTGAAGCAGGGCTGAGAGAGCCAGCAGATGCTCCCGGGAGAGGCAGGAACAGGTAACCGGTCCTCCGAGGACGCCTCTCCCTCCCAGCCTACCTGGTGAGCATGAGTTTGGGGCAGCAGGGGCAGCAGCAGCAGCAGGGGCCCGTGTGGATCATCATCGGGGTGTCCTTCAGTGTCCTCACTACTGCCTCCTTCCCACCAAAGCCTTGCACCATGACCAGCATCATCAGATAAAAGCACACCGCATAAAACCTGGAGTGGGGGAGAAGTGGGCCTGAGAGGACACGGGCGGCAGCCAGCTGAGGGCACAGCCTTTACTGCTAAGGAAAGATGGACGGCAGAGGGAGCCGGGAGGGCTGGGCCTTACCAAGGGGATCGTGGCAGGGACTAGGCATTCTGAATGTGGGACCCTAGACTGAGGGAGACGACAGGGTCCGGGGCCTGGGAAGAGGGGAATTTCAGACTGTGGGGACAAAACAGTGGCCTAAGACGGATGGATTCAGATGTCTAAGAGACTTGGGTTAGCACCAGTTGGAAAGGGCTCAATTCATAATCAATACGAATTGGTTTGCAGGGATTTATGGAAGGGACAGGGGATAAAAGAAGACATGGACTCTGGATTCCCGAGTGAGTGGGGAGCAGAAGGGAACCCCAGAAGAATACGGAGCCCAGAGTTAGGGGCAGGCAGGACACTCACGAGGTTATAGCCATTTCCACGAGTATGAGGGAACGGGGGATCCAGAGACCAAAGCAGCAGAACACAGACACCACCTGTTTGGAGAGGAGCAAGAAGACAGGTGAGGGAAGAAGAGAGACTGTGCTCACCCTCCTGAACCTTTTGTGACAAGGGCTCAAGGAAGCAAAACCTAAATATTTGAGGGACTATTACTTAAAAGTTGCCAGCAGGAAAAAGCACTAATTGAATTAAAGCAAAAAAACTTTTTTGTCCCTGTTTGGTGTGGCTCAGTGGATAGAACGCTGGCCCACACACTGAAGGGTCGGGGGTTCGATTCCTGGTCAAGGGCATGTACCTGAGTTGCAGGTTTGATCCCTGGCCCTGATCAGGGCATGTGTGGTAGGCAATCAATCAATGTGTCTCTCTCCCTAAAATCCCCCTTCCACTCTCTCTAAAATTCAGTGGAAAAAATAACCTTGGGTGAGGATTAACAAAAAAAAATTATTTTTTAAAATTCAGCTGTCAGTTCCTTCTATGTCTAGGGTTAGAAACAGCAAGTCACCTTGAGTCAAGGGCTTTATTGAAGAGTATCTCATCCTATATCCCTGGGGTAGGAGTAGATAAGTTCATCCTTAGGAGTGAATGGATCAAGACCCAACCCTTTCTCTTCAACATGCCACGTTACTAGAGCATCTCTGATGACTTGAGATGGCCCAGGCAGATGTCATCTGGCAGGAAAGGACCTCACAGGCCCCACTCTCCACCCCAAACAGACACTCAGAGCTCACCAGAAGGAAACATAAGTCCAATTGTACAGTCTATGAGCAAGCCAAAGGCCAATATAATGGCTGTGGGAGTTTTAAAAGCCTACAATGTAAGGCTATAGCTAAGTATGACTCCATGGGGGGAAATGACTTCCCCCTTACACTCTGAGGAACCACTGCTTGCCTGTACAGAAAGGAGGTTTGCTTTTCACAGCAACACTGTGGGGAGTAGTGACTGGGCCACGGGTGGCTGAGCAGTTTCTTTAGCTGTCTCTGTGGCTCTAAGAATTGCAACACTCCATCCCACTGCCTGTTGGCATGGGGTCCTGAATGTAAATGGAGATCAGATTGGAAATCCCCACCCATAAGTGGTAGAGGCAGGCAACTCTTTGCTGACTTGAATAGTCGAGTTTAGAGGAATGGACCCTCCCTCCTCTCCAGTCCTTCCCAAAGGGCAGCTACAGGGCCCTCACCGTGGGTGCAGAACTGTTCCAGAGCAGCGTCCTCCTCTTGATGGGGCAACAGGTGTTCTTGTGCAGGTAGATGGCATCCTCCAGGAAGATGGCAATTGAGCCCAACGCAAGCAAGGTCATGATGACCATGAGGGCAATTTCCATAGGGCCCAATGCTAGAGTGGAAAGACGGCAGACTCCAGTGAGACAAAGACCAGGACCGAGAGGCAGAAATGTGGCTTCCTCACCTGGATCTAAATTGCTTCACCAGATGGAGAATTATCTGGCCTAGGCTCCGTCCATGCACAGGAATGGCTTCTTCATAGACCTAGACAATCCAACCTGTGGCTAAGAAATAGTCATCTTCTGCATGGATGGGAGGCTAGAACAGATCAATCTAGGTATGGGGAGGCTTACCTGAACCAGGGTATAGACACTAAACCAGTTTTTACATAATTAGCAAAAACTTTGGATTAGGAGTCCGATAGGGCCTGTTCACTTTTCCGCCTCCAGTGCCCCGTGCCATGCTCGCAAACAGGGACCAATTAACATGATAATTGAAGCAGAATGTAATTAGTGGCACTCTTCAGAGCTGTTTAAATTTGATTTCGAAAATTATGTCATGAAAGTGGGACATCAGGAAGGGATTTTAGCAAAAGAGAAATAGATACAAGTAAAGACTCCAAGGACCTTTGTCCCATGTTGCTCCCACATTTAGTCTTACATTAAATGTGGCCCAGCAGCTCTCTCTCTCTTTTTATTAATGCTCTCCCAATGACATATTTTTTATTGATTTTTAGACAGAGAGGAAGGGAGAGAGAGAAACATCAATGTGAGAAACATAGATCGGTTGCCTCCCATATGTGCTCAGACCTGGGATTGGACCTGAAACCTAGGTATGTGCCCTGACTTGAAATCACACCCACAACCTTTAGGTGGATGTGATGATGCTCCAACCAACTGAGCCACCTGGCCAGGGACCAGTAGCTCTCTTTAGTGTTTATTACATTCATTCAAGGAGTTACTGGGAAGTAGCTATCCAGGCCCTCAGAGATCCTCACCCAAGGATGTATTTTTCCATTGATTTTTAGATAGAGTGGAAGGGAGGGAGGGAGAGAGAGACACAGAAACATCAGTACATCAATGTGAGAGAGACACATCAATCGGTTGCCTCGCACACAACCCTGACAGGCTGGTATGGGACCTGCAATCCAGGTACAGGCCCTTGATGGGACTCAAACCTGTGACCCTTCGGTCCGCAGGAAGACACTCTAACCACTGAGCCAAATGGCCAGGGCAGCAATTGCATTTTTAACAGCTCACTTGATGATGGTCAGGGATAAACATCAGGCCTCACCATTGCTAACAGGGAAAAATTAATCTAGTTACAATATGTGTTTCTGAGCACGTTTTAAAGGGTTCTGTGTCCTTAGTGAATAAGCCCGGACCCTCTTTATCTAAGTCTCTTCCTTAGTGACAGACTTCTGGCCCGAGGAGAGGAAGAGGGGGAAGGAAGGGTGTCTTCGGAGCCCAGCCCACGGTCCTCCTGCCTGGAGTAAGTGTGAGGAGGAGTTGGCTAGTCTGCCGTGTTTGGTGACTGAAGGCAGCTCAGTCAGAGAGATGATACTGCTGAAACCAAACCAGGGAGGAAGGAGACCACACCACAGTAGAGCCTTGAGTTGTCATCGGGTTAGTCATACCTGATGGCACCACAAGGAGCAACCAGGTCAAAGTGTCTGTCAGAAAACATCATGTTGATCCTGGTTGCTTTTCAGGGCACACGTTTTCTCTCTGTTTGCTTTATCCAAGGGAGGCCCTTTAACTCTGACCACAATCAGGTCTAATGACCGATCCAGAGGACCTGCCAAGGGGAAGGTGGCCCTTGGGTGCAGCTGCCAGCTGGGACTTCTGAAGTTAATGGTAAACTTTTCTATCACAGGCCATAAAAGACAGGGTTGTGCTGTTTTCCTTGCTTCCTACCCATCCCTTTTTCCATCCACCTTCATTTAGGTAGGATAATGCCCTCTGGGTGTCTAAATGACTGGGTTGGCAGAGTGATTGTGAGGTATAGAGCCCTGGCTGGTTTGGCTCAGCGGTTAGAGCGTCGGCCTGCGGTCCAGAGAGACTCGGGTTCAGTTCCCGCTAAGGGCATGTACCTCGGTTGCAGTTTGTCCCCCGCCCTGGTTGGGTCATGCAGGTGGCAGCCACTCGATGTGCACCTTTCACATCAATGTTTCTCTCTCCCTCCCACTCTATCTGAACAAAAAATGGAAAAATGTCCTCAGGTGATGATTGGGGAAAAAAAAAAAAAAAAGTAAAGGCACTACCTTGGTTGCGGTTCGCCCTGGCCCCGGGTGGAGTTGTGCAGGTGGCGACCAATCAATGTGTCTCTCTTACTTCGGTGTTTCTCTCTCTCTCTCTTCCTCCCTCTCTCCCTCCAGCTGTGTCTGAAGATTAATGTAAAAATGTTCTTGGGTGAGGATAAAAAAAGACATATATATATATATGATATACCAACTATACATCAATAAAACAATTAAACATAAATGAACAGATGACTGACTTGGCGTTGCTGTTTCTGTTGCGCTCTGCTGCCTCTCTCTCAATGACCTCTCCAGACCCTGCTTGTCAGCCCTGCAAGTTCTGACGATTAAAAAGCTGGTGGCAGTCCTTTTCTAAAATGATACTTTACCTTTTCTTCCTTGAAACTTATTTAAAACTATTTTTTCTTTATTGATTTTTTTAGAGAGAGAGGAAGGGAGAGGGAGACGGAGAGAGAACATCGATTGGCCGCCTCCTGCATGCCCCCCACTGGGGGCTGGGCCCACAACCTGGGCATGTGCCCTGACTGGGAATCGAACCAGCAGCCTTGGTGCAGGGTCGACGCTCAACCACTGAGCCACACCAGCCAGGGCGAAACTTCTAAAATATAAACATCACAAAGAAGTTTTTACACAAGTTTACCCTTATACAACAAAATTGTGTACTTAAAACAATTATAGGGAGCACATAAAGCCTGTCATATTTCAAAGTAATTCTGAATAGATTAAAGAGACAAGTCTTTAAAAATCAAACAGGAAAAATTGAGAGGAAAAAGAGAGAGAGATAGAATTGTCTTTCATCAAAACTTTGGAGACGAGAGATCTTTCTAAGCTTAGGAGTGATCCAAGAAATCACAAGAGAACAATGTTCAAATTTGATATAAAATGTTTAAAATTCCAAATGTTCAAAAAAAAAAAAAAAGGGAGGAAAGAGACTAGAGGAAAACATTTTTAATAAATGTGTACTAAAGTTTAAGGTCTTTATTATAGAAAGAAAATCGATAACAAAAACAGGCAGCTTTTGCAAATAAGTGGGAAAACGTATTAACATAGTTCAGGACAGGTGGGACAATAGTCAACCTGCCTAGTAGTCAAGGAAGAGCAAAAAACAGTGATATATTATGTTTCGTTCTATTATAAGATAATGTTTATAACATTATTAACGAATTGCCCTAAAATAACTTAAATGTCTGACGATATTGGAATTATTATGTTAACTACCCCATAGAATATTTCGCGAGCATGAACATTTCGTGTGTGCCATAAAAAATATTTGCAAAGAGTATATAATAATATTTTTTAAAAACTTATTAACAGTCAGTTAAAAAAAACAAAACAAAACAAAAAACTTCACTGACCCACTGGGAGATAAAAAAGAACAATGACTCCGACGGGGACAACAGTGTGGTGATTGCAAGGGGGCAGGTGGAGGTGGAAGAGGGAGGGAACAGAGCAGCGGTTCTCAACCTGTGGGTCGCGACCCCTTTGGGGGTCGAACGACCCTTTCTCAGGGGTCGCCTAAGACCATCGGAAAACACATATTTCCAATGGTCTTAGGAACCGAGACACTGCTCCTTCATCCGTCTCCAGGCGAGTCCGCCCACATGCAAATCTGCCCACGCAACACGAGGAACTAACTGTATTAAGGGTGGCAGCATTAGGAAGGTTGAGAACCACTGGAATAGAGGGACTAAATGGTGATGGTAAAAAAAAAAAATTAATTTGCCCTGACTGGTTTGGCTCAGCAGATAGAACGTCGGCTCATGGACCAAAGGGTCTCGGGTTTGATTCCCCAACAAGGGCACATATCTGGTTTGCAAATTCGATCCCCAGCCCCAGTTGGGGTTGTGCAGGAGGCAACCAATTGAGGTGTCTCTCTCACATCAATGCTTTTCTCTCTCCCTCCCTCCCTCTATTCCATTCTATCTAAAAATCAACGAAACAAATACACTTAGGTGAGGATTAACCAAAAAATAAATAAAGATAAAGCAAGATACTATTATTATTTCTTTTTCCTCACCCAAGGACATTTTTCCATTTTTTGTTCAGATAGAGTGGGAGGGAGAGAGAGCGAGAGAAACATCGACGTGAAAGGGACACATCGAGTGGCTGCCACCCACACGACCCAACCAGGGCCGGGGACAAACTGCAACCAAGGTACATGCCCTTAGCGGGAACTGAACCCGGGTCTCTCTAGACCGTAGGCCAACGCTCCAACCGCTGAGCCAAACCGGCCAGGGCCAAGATACTATTATTTAAAAAAATAAATTTTTGTTGTTTTAAGCCAAAAAGAAAAAAGAAGAAAAGGACATTGACCCCCTTCCTCATATCATACAAAAATACCTAAATGTGAAAGTTAAAACAACGTTTTTAGAAGAAAACAGAGAAATATATCTTCATGACTTTGAGATAGTTAAGTCTTTTAAAACAGGAAACAAAAGCACTAATTATAAAATTTGATAAATTGGACTGTCTTAAAATTAAGAATTACCATTGATCAAAAGAAACTATTAAGGGAATAAAAAGGCCAGCTCAGACTGAGAAGAGATATTTATAATACAGACACCCACCAAGAGACTCACATCGATAATATATAAAGAATTCCCATCAGTAAGAAAAAGACAATGGAATTTTTTAATTAAAAAAAAAACCTAAACTTTACAAAAGAAGATACTCAAATGTTCATGAAACATAAAGAGATGCTAAGTATCCACAGTCCTGAGGGAAATACAGATGTGAGAGGCTATCACACACCCACCAGAAGGCCTCAAATGAACAATACTGACGATTCCAAGTGTCAGTGAGGATGAGGAGCAATTGGAACTCTTATACACTGCTGTTGGGAGTAGTACAAG